CTCCCACTGGTGTGGGTCCCGTCCCTATTCTTTTGTCTCTGTTTATTCTTTTTTCTTTTGCCTTACCCAGGTACGTGGGGATTTTCTTGCCATTTGGGAGGTCTCAGGTCTTCTGCCAGCGTTCAGTAGGTGTTCTGTAGGAGTTGTTCCACATGTAGATGTATTTCTGGTGTATCAGTGGGGAGGAAGGTGATCTCTGCGTCTTACTCTTCCACCATCTTCCTCCCAGTAATGTATTTTTTAGCCTCCATGTGTTTGTGTTTTTTACATTTTTTTCCCTGTAATTCATTTCTAATCTCATAGCGTTGTGGTCAGAAAAGATGCTTGATATGATTTCAATTTTCTTAAATTGACTTAGGCTTGATTTGTGACCCAAGAGGTGATCTATCCTGGAGAATGTTCTGTGCGCACTTGAGAAGAAAGTGTAATCTGCTGTTTTTGGATGGAGTGTCCTATAAATATAAATTAAATCTATCCGGTCTATTGTGTCATTTAAAGCTTCTGTTTATTTTCATTTTGGGTGATCTCTCCATTGGTGTAAGTGAGGTGTTAAAGTCCCCCACTATTACTGTGGTACTGTCGATTTCCTCTTTTATAGCTGTTAGCAGTTGCCTTATGTATTGAGGTGCTCCTATGTTGGGTGCATATAGATTTATAATTGTTGTATCTTCTTGGATTGATCCCTTGATCATTATGTAGTGTCCTTCCTTGTCTCTTGTAACATTCTTTATTTTAAAGTACACTTTATCTGATATGAGTATAGCTACTCCAGCTTTCTTTTGATTTCCATTTGCATGGAATATCTTTTTCCATCCCCTCACTTTCATATGTATGGGTCTTGTTTTTGTATCCATTCAGCAACCTGTGTCTTTTGGTTGGAGCGTTTAATCCATTCACATTTAAGGTAATTATCAATATGTATGTTCCTGTGACCATTTTCTTCATTGTTTTGGGTTTGTTTTTGTAGGTCCTTTTCTTGTATTTTCCCCTTAGAGAAGTTCCTTTAGCATTTGTTGTAGAGGTGGTTTGGTGGTGCTGAATTCTCTTAGCTTTTGCTTGTCTGCAAAGCTTTTGATTTCTCCATCAAATCTGAATGAGATCCTTGCTGGGTAGAGTAATCTTGGTTGTAGGTTCTTCCCTTTCATCACTTGAAGTATGTCATGCCACTCCCTTCTGGCTTGTAAAGTTTCTGCTGAGAAATCAGCTGTTAACCTTATGGCAGTTCCCTTGTATGTTATTTGTCGGTTTTCCCTTGCTGCTTTTAATAATTTTTCTTTGTCTTTAATTTTTGCCAATTTGATTACTATGTGTCTCGGCATGTTTCTCCTTGGGTTTATCCTGTATGGGACTCGCTGCGCTTCCTGGACTTGGGTTGCTATTTCTTTTCCCATGTTAGGGACATTTTCAACTATAATCTCTTCAAATATTTTCTTGGGTCCTTTCTCTCTCTCTTCTCCTTTTGGGACCCCTATAATGCAAATGTTGTTGTGTTTAATGTTGTCCCAGAGGTCTCTTAGGCTGTCTTCATTTCTTTTCATTCTTTTTCCTTTATTCTGTTCCACAGCAGCGAATTCCACCATTCTGTCTTCCAGGTCACATATCCGTTTTTCTGCCTCAGTTATTCTGCTATTGATTCCTTCTAGTGTAGTTTTCATTTTAGTTATTGTATTGTTCGTCTCTGTTTGTTTGTTCTTTAATTCTTGTAGGTCTTTGTTAAAGATTTCTTGCATGTTCTTGATCTTTGCCTCCATTCTTTTTCCGAGGTCCTGGATCATCTTCACTCTCATTATTCTGAATTCTTTTTCTGGACAGTTGCCTATCTCCACTTCATTTAGTTGTTTTTCTGGGGGTTTATCTTGTTCCTTCATCTGGTACCTAGCCCTCTGCCTTTTCATCTTGTTTGTCTTCCTGTGAATGTGGTTTTTGTTCCACAGGCTGCAGGATTGTAGGTCTTCTTGCTTCTGCTGTCTGCCCTCTGTTAGAATGCCCTTATTAAGAAGGGGATTCCCACTGAAACAGTAGGTAGATAGAAGTGTTGTCACCACATAGTTGGATAGCATTTTTCTTTGAGATTTTAATTTGTTTTATTGATGCTTCCAAATTAGGGAAATATATATGTAATTTTAAAAATAATGAGAAATTGATAATAGAACAGGTTGCTTAAGATCATGTGGTGAGTTAGCAACTTACCACAGGGCCACCAAGTGCCATGAATCAGGATTCCCTGGGATTCCTGGTGTAGGGACTTCTCTGGTGGTCCAGTGGTAAAGAATCCACCTTCCTATGCAGGGGACACGGGTTTGATCCCTGGTCGAGGAATAAAGATCCCACTTGCTGCTGGGCAACTAAGCCCACACGCCACAGCTACTGAACTTGCGCGCCTCAATGAGAGAGCCCATGTGCCGTGAACTACAGAGCCCACTCACTCAGGAGCCCGCGCGCTACAACTAGAGAGAGAAAACCAACACGCCACAACTAGAGAGAAGCCCGCACCACAATGAAAAGATCCTGCATGCCGCAACTAAGGCCTGATGCAGCCAAAAAAATAAAGAAAAAAAAAGGGAAGCCCATTTATCTTATAAAATATGGGAGTTAAAGACCAAGGTTCTGTGGCAGAGAAAATAATACAGAATGATGAGATGTATATATTAAGGGTTTGGGTTTTTTTTTTTTCTTTTTGTGGTATGCAGGCCTCTCACTGCTGTGGCCTCTCACGTTGCGGAGCACAGGCTCCGGACGCGCAGGCTCAGCGGCCATGGCTCACGGGCCCAGCCGCTCCGCGGCATGTGGGATCTTCCCGGACCGGGGCACGAACTCGTGTCCCCTGCATCGGCAGGCGGACTCTCAACCACTGCACCACCAGGGAAGCTCAAGGGTTTGGGATTTTTTAACCTAAGTTAAAAATATTTCCCCTTACATGATGAGTACAGAGGCTTTGTTTGCTTATGAAACATGAATTGTCATAAACTCTTATAACCATGTTGTCTGAGTTTTCAGCCATAATTAGAGGTGATGCAGGTGAATGTAATCCCAGGGGCAGAACAGTGTTTTCTATCTCCACCTTTGTTTAGTTTGGGCTACCTTAAACAGGGACTTACACACTCCTAGGAGAATTGAAGGTTTTGGTTTATCTTGCCATGTTTGAGTTCCCTTTTTTGATGTATATTAGCTCATTAGTTATACCTCCATAAAAATCTGCCCTTACAACACTCAAAATATAAAAATAGACCTTAAATTAATTGAATTAAATTTAGAGTATACCACAGATAACTAGGATACACATCTAATATATATCAAAAGCCTGAAACCATTTGCTCGTACCCTTCAGTCTAGTCATTAGATTTCATCCTGAGAATGGGGTTGTTAACCATAGGTGAACATCAAGGAGTCTTATTTTCAAATTAAGAACTCTAGAATAATTCAGCAAAAGACAAAAAGCTAAGTACACCATCTAAAGTGTAACAAAAATTGGCAGTGACCTGAATGTCCAACTATAGGATTAAGTAAATTGTAGTTCATCACTTAATAGAATATTATGTAACCATTAATACAGTACTTTTATAGATGACATAGAAACATGGGAAAATGTTTATAATAAAAGTGGAAATAATAAGTTACCTTTCGCTACAGCTATGTAAAGTATATCTGTACATGAGGAAAGAATTAACAGTAGCCAAACGTAAAACTTTTATGGGAAAGTGGTGAGCTTATTTTCCTTTTTTCCACAATTTCCTTCACTGTCATTTCAATAAAAAGAGGTAGAAGAAGGGGAGGGGAGAAAATGTAGTTTAGTTTCTGGTGTTTCCTCCCACTCTTTAGAATAATGGGGTCCTGGGAACCACCTACAGAGTGTATAGTGGTATCATTGCCACTGACTTTCTAGATTGATACTTCTTTTCCCCCTAAGGAATTTATTTATTTGGTTGCACTGGGTCTATTTGGCTGCGCTGGGTCTTATTTGCAGCAGGCGGACTCCTTAGTTGTGGCTTGTGGGCTCCTTAGTTGTGGCTTGCCGGCTCCTTAGTTGCAACACGTGGACTCCTTAATTGTGGCTCATGGACTCCTTAGTTGCAGGTCACTGGCTTCTTAGTTGCAGCATGTGGGCTCCTTAGTTGTGGCATGCAAACTCTTAGTTGTGGCATGCGCGTGGGATCTAGTTCCCTGACCAGGGATCGAACCTGGGAGCATGGAGTCTTTACCACTGTGCCACCAGGGTGGTCCCTAGATTGACACTTTTTTGTTGTTTTTTTGCGGTACGCGGGCCTCTCACTGTTGTGGCCTCTCCCGTTGCGGAGCACAGGCTCCGGATGCGCAGGCTCAGCGGCCATGGCTCACGGGCCCAGCCGCTCCGCGGCATGTGGGATCCTCCCAGACCGGGTCATGAACCCGTGTCCCCTGCATCAGCAGGCGGACTCCTAACCACTGCACCACCAGGGAAACCCCCTGACACTTTTATATATAATATTTTAAAAATTTTCTTCCTGTTTTCATGTTTCTCAAAGTGTGGTTTAGGACTTGTTTCCCAGATTCATTATGGTTTATGAAGGCATCCTTACAGTAAACTGATGGTGGAAAGGTAGAATCAAGGTCAGAGAGATACAGAAAAATAACTTTGTGTGTTTCTAGGCTTGATGAGAAAAGGCTTTAGTTAACTATATTAAAGCAGAAAAGGTCAGCATCTAGTGAATGTGATGAGGTCTGCTTTCTGGTTTTGTAAAGGAAGAAAACATTCAGGAAACGGTTTTATGAAATTTGTTATAATGTAAATGGGTTCTTGTCCTATGAAATTTGGGACTTATAGTTTCATATTTTCCCCAAGGGAAGCTGTCTTCATGTACCTCATTTAGACTCTAAACCTACTGGACAGAGCAGAATGCAAAAGACTTTCAACTGTTATACTCAAGAAATGTTTATTGTTATACTCAAAAAATGTTTATTATTAACAGAGTTGGTTGACCATGTCAGGAGTGTCCCATTTGTCCTCTGAATTTTCCTACCAGGGAAGGAGCATCCATACTGATTCATGGAACAGAAGGAACTGATTCCACACTCCAGGTTACCTCCCTGGCCCAGATTATCTTGGAACCAAGAAGCAGGACCATCCGGGGCTTTGAGGCCTTGATAGAGAGAGAGTGGCTTCAGGTGAGAAAAGCCATTTTGTCCACAGAGGAACTGCTCATAATTGATGTTTGATCCTGGTTTGTGGGAATGGATATAATATATGAAATTCTGATTGATTCAGATGTTTAATTTTCTGGGGGACAGTAAATCTCTCTTCCTCTTAATAAATGCCTGTAATCTTTACTGCCTCTCAATTTCTGTCTCCCTCTTTGCTTATATTGCTCATTTGGCACTTCATTCCCCTAACAAACGTTATTAGTTGTACCTTGTTACCTATAGGGGAAACACAAAGAACGTGTAAAACATGGTCTTGTCTCACAGAACTTAGTCTTGCTAGAGATAAAAGACATAAACAAGGGGGGAAGGAGGAGTGGGGACTTGTAAGTACAAGGCATGTGCTTTAGTGCTTTCTACCTTCTGCTCATCTCTGTCCTGTCGTCTTCCTCAGCCAGGTGAAATCCTTCTCATCCTGTAAGATCCAGCTAAATATCTCTACTTTCGTGAAGACTCTGGGACCTTAACTTCCTTCACAGAAAAAATTGATCCATTTTCCTCACACCTTGTTTCCTGAGCTAGACTCAGATATCGTGACTTCTTTGAGTTCAGGGAACCTTGCCCACCCAATTCAGCTGTTTATCCCTAGGACACAACACAGTGCTGTCCTATATAATGCTGAAGGACAGCTAAAATAAAGGTCTCATAAAATAGATGGAAATCCTTCAGGCCAGAGGTTAATTTAAATATATATACACCATGTAACTTAGTGTGTAATTGTGATTGAAAACAAATGTTTAGATATATCTTGAAAGGAAGTATCTCTGGAGAAAATCACTCTGGCCCTTCTAGTTACAATTCAGCTTTATTATGTGTTAATGCTGTTATGTTTACCATGTCTACCCACCCTGACAGCTGACCTTTATCTCTGTTTAAGTCAGACCATCCTAAATATTTGGTGCAGATCTTATTCAGCTACATTCCTTGTGATGCATAGCAAACAAACAAATGAGTATGATTGATTTGTTTATATATTACTATTTTCATGGGCATCAAAATCCCATTCATGTTCCTGGCATTATCTTTGTCAGATAAAGTAGCACGAGGACCCAAAGATAAAGCATGTATATGAAATACCTAGAAGGGTGTGATTTGGGGGGATAAGGTCAGTACTCAGGTTCTGGGTGGGCCAGAGAGCCAAATGATTCTTAAATTTCCTTTGGTCAGTAGATGACAGACTCTTCTAGTTCTTTTTGAGGAGAGGGGGAAACTAAAGACAGCTTTGTCTCTAATATAAAAGCATTCATACAGATGTAATCATGACAGTAACTTTCTTATGTAATTAAATACTTACTATCAGGAGTAAACTGATAAAAATTTGTCTATGAGAACCCCATATCTATCTGCATTTAGTGTTGAGGCTTCCTTATCTTACAGTAGTCGACAGTGCTTTGGATGGATAGAAGGGGATAGCTGTCCTGTTTTATACCTGAAGAGCTTATGTTCTTTGACTTTGCTCCAGATTTTACAGACCTAGAAAGATTTATTTTATGCTTATTACTGAAGTTCATTATTCTTCTATTTGATATTCCAAGACCAACTGCAGACGTTATGGCTAACTGTATATATACCCTTGTTAAGTATTTGGAAATCTTGTCTTTTTCCTTAGTTGGTGAAGATTGTCTTAAACCAAGAAATCATTAAAGAGCAGCCACCCAAATTATATGATGTTCCATTTAATAGTTTTGTTGCAAGTGTGTGAAATTTGTTACTAATGTGCTACACTGTGATCTCACTGGCTATGATTGCTGCATTTCCATCTTTTCTCTTAGGCTGGTCACCCATTCCAACAGCGCTGTGCACAGTCGGCCTATTGTAATAGTAAGCAGAAGTGGGAGTCGCCTGTATTTCTTCTCTTCTTGGACAGTGTGTGGCAGATACTTCGTCAGTTCCCTTGTTCATTTGAATTTAATGAGAATCTCCTCATCATGCTCTTTGAGCATGCATATGCCTCACAGTTTGGAACATTTTTGGGCAACAATGAAAGTGAAAGGTAGGTACCTGCTCACGTGGGGGCCATTTTATTTTTAGCTGTTTTGGTCATTTCCTAAAAGAGACCAGGATTTGGTTCTACATTAATGTTATTTATAAGATGGAAGAGGTTACAGTTAGTATAAATTATGTAATTTATTGTGAGCCTGTCACATGCTAGGTGAGAGCATATCCTGGATTTTGTTCTATTTGATTAAAATTAGTTCATACACTGATTAAAAAGCTTTGAATAATTGAGCAACCATTAAAATGTTACTCTCCTTATATAGGAGCATAGTATCTTACATCTGGAAGAAGCTTTAACATATAATTCAATTCTACCCTCCATGCAGTTTGATAGATTAGGAAGGTTATTATCCAGAGAAGTGAATGACTTGTCCAGGAAGCACACAGCCTGTTGGTCACCAAAAGTATGGCTGTAGTACAGGTCTTCCTACTCCTGCTCTAGAGTTTTCTCTCTTATACCGAGAAACTGTCCTCAGGCCCAGAGTTAGGATCTTACTTCATAACCCAGACACCATCAAGTTTATAGGTTTAATTAGAAGATTCACATCAGAATGATCATTAAAGATGCTTAACTGGTAATCTTCTCATTTGGGTACAGTCTAAAGGCTTCCTCTGGGTGGGAGGCAGGGTTTGTCCCTTGGCTGGTACCTGGCATCAGTTAGTTGAATAATAAATTTAAACAATTAAGTTTTCATAAAAGAATAGAATTATTGTATCTTTACCTGTTTGAAATTCAAGAACATAGAGCAATACATGTTTTTTTACTTAAAGCTGAATTGGCAGATAATTTCAACTTTAGAGTTTCTTACAGATTCTTGTCTTCAGAAGTAGGGAAAAATTTAGAACTATTTGCTCTAGAAAGTTCTGTGTCACCACAGTTTTCTCACTGTGCTTTGGCTGTAGTTACTGCAGCCACACGTGATTCATATGATCAGTTTGACTGATTTAATGGATTTGTTTATAATTTGCACTGTTTCTTCTGTATCCCAAGGGTATTTGCTCTAAGTGTTTTCTCTGATAATATATGGAGTTGGAAGAGAACTAACTTGCTCAAGATAAAATGTCTTATTGGTACCGAGTCCAAGCTTGTACTACTTCTGCACGACAAGCCAATAAATTGAGAGACGAGGTGTTGGGGCAAGGAATAGCAACTTTATTCAGAAAGCCAGCAGACCGGGAAGATGGTGGACTAGTGTCCCAAAGAACCATCTTGCCTGGGTTTGGATGCTAGTTTCTTTTATAAAACAAAGAGGGGGAGGTAAGGAGGTAAAGTTAAAAAAGAAAAAAAAAAAAACAAGGTGATAAGTTGTTGTAAATGTTTCCTGGTTCCTGCCAGACTCTGGAGGGGATGCATTCATTTCTTCCTCCTTGCAGTCCGTCACAGGTGGGCCTGGTCAGGATGTTTCCTGGGAGCTAAACAAAGGTGTTTTAGCTTACTGCTCAGGATGGGGGACAGGGTTCCCCAGATGGGCCATTATGTATTCTTTAAGGTTTAAGCAACATTCCTTTAGTGATTAACTTGTAGCAAAAGCAGTAGAATACAAAGTTTAGAGTAAAAGAAACAGATCCAGTATGGAGCCAGATTTGTTCTTCCCTATTACATTATGTTGGCATTACAAAATCGAACCTTTGTGAAAACCTTCAGATGGGTTGGTGGTTGGGATTGTCCCTGAGCTGTTCATTCATAGTTTGGGCTTAAATGAATCTTTGAACATCGTACCTCAGTTTTTTCAATTGATGAAATTTACTTTGGGTATTTTAGTATCATTTTAAGTTGACTTTCTAGAAATGATTATACTTATATTATTACACTTGACTTCATTACTTATGCCAAAAGAACAGGCCTACTTCCAAAAAGTAGGATTTGGATTGATTTGTGATGGAGATACCATTAATATTTCCCTTCCCACCCCAGAAACTATTCTGTAACATGTAGTTAATCCAAATAGAACATAAATTATTAATTTTTTCCTATTTTTTCCTTATTAACAATAGATGAAAAGTTTAATACTTCCTGACTTTAGGGTTCTATTCATCTCTGTTTTAGAATTCTGCTAGTCAGAATAGAGTTTAATTAGAAGAGGTGACCTAAGAGAAAGCAATGACCATCCTTTTTTTTCCCTTTTAAATATTACATACGAAAGAATAAGAACTTTTAAGATTTGTTATGAATACAAAGTCTGAAATTACTTGAACCCTGTGAATTTGGGAGATTGGAGTATTAGCTAGCCTAATAAGATTTTTAAAAAATCTTTAAAAACCACTGAAACTTCTTGGTAAAAGATGACTTCAGTTAAAAGGGAAAATGTAACATTTTTAAAAAACAGCTTTATTGAGATATAATGCATTTACCATAATATTCAGCCATTTAAAGTGTATTTATTGTGATTTTTAAAAAATGGTATATTCAGAGTTGTGCAACCAGCACTGCATCTAATTTTAGAACATTTTCATCACCTCCAAAACAAACCCCATATCCATTACCAGTCACTATCCATTTTCCCTCCCTCCATCCCCTAGCCCCTGATAACCACAAATCTGCTCTTAGTCTATAAATTTGCCTGTTTGACTATTTCATATAAATGGAATCATACAATATGTGGTCTTTTATGATTGGCTTCTTTCACTGAGCATATTTCCAAGGTTCATCCATGTTGTAGAATGGGTTGTTTCCATCATTTGGCTACCATAAATAATGCTGTGTTAAACATTTGTATACAAGTTTTTGTGTGGACATATATCCATTTATCTTAGATATAAACCTAGGAGTGGAATTGTGGGTCGTATGGTAACTGACATTTTGAGGAGCTGTGAAAGAAAGTGGCAGCACCATTTTACATTCCCACCAGCAATGTATGAGGGCTCCAGTTTCTCCATATCTCCACCATTTTTTATTGTCTGCCCTTTTGATTTAGTCATCCTAGTGGGTGTAAAGTGGTGTAAATCTCATTACAGTGATTTGCATTTCCTTAATGGACCAATGGTGTTGATCAGCTTTGCATGTGTTTGTTGGGCATTTGTGTTATCACTTCTTTGATATCCAAATATCTATTTGGATACTTTGCCAATTTTTTCATTGGGTTATTTGTCTTTTTATTGTTGAGTTGTAAGAAAATTTTGATAGAGATTGCATTGGAATCTGTGGATCACTTTGGGTAGTTATTACTGCCTTAACAGTGTTGTCTTCCAGTCTATGAACACGGGATGTCTTTCCATTTATTTAGGTCTTTAATTCCTTTCAGCAGTATTTTATAGTTTTCAGTATACAAATATTTTACCTCTTCAGTTAAATTTATTCTTGGTATTTTAATATTTTGAATGCTGTTGTAAATGGAATTGTTTTCTTAATTTTTTTGGAGTATTCACTGCTGGCATATAGAAACATGACTGTTTTTATGTGTCTATCTTGTACCTTGCAGTTTTGCCAAATTTATTTATTAGCTCTAGTAGTTCGTGTGTGTGTGTGGATTCTTTGGGATTTTCTATGCATAGGATCATGTTATTTGCAAGTAGAAATCATTGTATGTCTTCCTTTCTACTTTGGATGTGTTTTCTTTCTTTTTCATGTCTAATGAATTTCCAGTACAGCATTGAATGGCAGTGGTGAAAGCAGGCACTCTTGTTTTATTCCTGATCTTAGGGAGAAAGCTTTCAGTCTTTCACGAGTGTAATGTTGAGTATGATGTTAGCTGTGTTTTTTCCCATAAGTACCCTTTACCATGTTGAGGAAGTTCCCTTCTATCCCTAATTTATTGAGTGTTTTTGTCATGAAAAGATGTTTTGTTATCTGCTTTTTCTGCATTAATTGCAATGATCATGTGGTTTTTTTCCCTTTGTTCTATTAATGTGGTGTATTACATTGATTGATTTTCTTATGTTGAACCACTGTTGTATACTTAGGATAAATCTCGCTTGGTCATGGTATATAATCCTTTCAATATGCTGTTGTATTTGGTTTGCTAGTAGTTCGTTGAGAATTTTTGCATCTATATTTGTAAGGGACATTGGCCTATTACAGTTTTCTTGTATCATTGTCTGGCTTTGGCATCAGGGTGATAATACCTTCATAAAATGAGTTAGGAAATATTTTCTATTTGTTGGGGAGTTTGAGAAGGATTGGTGTTCATTTTTCTTTTATATTTGATAGAATTTACCAGTGAAACCATCTGGTCCTAGACTTTTCTTTGTGGAGAGATTGTTACTGAGTCAGTTTCCTTATTTGTTATAGGTCTGTTGAGATTTTTTATTTCTTCAGTCAGTTTAGGTAATTTTTGTGTTTATAGGAATTTGTCCATTTCATCCAGATTATCTAATTTGTTGGTGTGCAGTTAATAGTATTTTCTTAAAATCTTTTTTATTTCTGTAAGGTCAGTAGTAATGTCCCATTTTCATTTTTGATTTTAGTTATTTGCATCTTCCTTTTTCTTTGTCATTCTAGCCAGAGGAACAATTTTGTTGATCTTTTCAGAGAACTGACTTTTGGTCTCATTGATGTTATTTTTAAAAGTTTTTTTGTCTGTCTCCTCTGTAATCTTAGTTTTTCCTTCCTTCTGCAAGCATTGGCTTAGTTTGCTCTCCTTTGTCTAGTTCCTTAAGGTGTAAAGTTAGATTACTGATTTGAGATCTTTCCTTTTTAACATAGGTTCTTGCTATAAATTTCCCTCTGAGCATTACTTTCACTGGAGTTGTGTTAGCATGTTGTGTTTTTGTTTTCATTCATTTGTAAGTATTTTCTAACGTCTTTTGTGATGTCTTCTTTAAACCATTGGTTGTTTGAAAGTGTGTAATATAATTCCACATACTTATGAATTTTCCAGTTTTTCTTCTGTTATCAATTTCTAACTTCATTCCCTTGTGGTTGAAGAAGATGCTTTGTATGATCTCAGTCTTTTAAAATGTATTGAGCTTTGTTTTGTGGCCTACCATGTGGTTTGGCCTGCAGAATGCTTCATGTCCACTTGAGAAGAATGTGTGTTCTGCTGTTGGGTAGAGTTTTCTATATTTGTCTTACATTTTGTTCAAGTCCTGTATTTCCTTATTTATCTTCTGTCTAGTTATTGGGATAGTGAAATCCTCAACTATATTAGAGAATTGTCTGTTTCTCTGTTCCATTACGTCAGTTTTTGCTTCATATGTTTTGTGGCTCGGGTGCAACATACATATATATATTTATAATTATTATATCTTCTTGGTGGATTAACTTTGTTGCCAGCTTTGGAAGCCTGCAAAACAGTCTTTGTTTTGATGTTGTTGACAGTTAAAAATGCTGACATATTTTAATTTTACAACATTTTGTTCCTCTGCTAAAAGTCTTGTATTCTGCTTTCTAACATACAAGAGAAAAGAAATTGTCCTGTTCGAAGGAGCATTTAATAGTGGTTGTCATAAATTAATTGCTTTAATGGCAGTTTTCTTTCTTGATCAGATGCAAGTTGAAGCTACAGCAGAAAACGATGTCTCTATGGTCTTGGGTCAACCGGCCCAGTGAACTGAGTAAGTTCACCAACCCTCTCTTTGAAGCCAACAATCTTGTCATCTGGCCTTCGGTTGCTCCACAGAGTCTTCAGCTGTGGGAGGGTAAGCCATGCATCCTTCGCAAACCTTTTATTAATATAGTCTAGGATGTTCTCTTGACTGCCTGTGGGTACATGAGTACATGGATACTGCTGTTTATATCGGATATTTTCTCAAGATAAGAAGGTACATTTTTTTTTATTGTGACAAAAACACAAAATTTACCAACTTAACCATCTTGAAGTGTGCAATTCAGTATGGTTAAGTATATCATGTTGCTGTGAAACAGGTCTCCACAACTTTTCATCTTGTAAATCTAAAACTCTGTACCCATAAACAACTTCTCAGTGCCCCTCTCCAGCCCCAGGCAACCACCCTTCTGCTTTCTGTCTCTGGATTTGACTGCTCCAGGTACCTCATATAAGTGGAACCATACAGTATTTGTCCTTTTGTGACTGGCTTATTTCATTAGCATAATTAATGTGCTCAAGGCTCATCCATGTGGTAGCATGGGACAGGATCTCCTTCCTCTTTTTTTTTTTTTTGTGGTACGCGGGCCTCTCAGTGTTGTGGCCTCTCCCGTTGCGGAGCATAGGCTCAGCGGCCATGGCTCACGGGCCTAGGCGCTCTGCGGCATGTGGGATCTTCCCGGACCAGGGCACAAACCCGTGTCCCCTGCATCGGCAGGCGGACTTTCAACCGCTGCACCACCAGGGAAGCCCCCTAAAGAACGTGTTTTACCTACATTAATTTTTCAGATTCTTGAAGTTTATCTCCTTAAATACTAAAGCTTGTTTTTTTAAAAAATAACCAAAACCTATCTAAAACATATTATCCATTCATTAAGCAAAGACTATAAAATACCATTTAATTTCTTTTTAACCAATTTATAGGTGTAAGTACATTTTTATTCATCTTTATATTAAACAATATAAGGCATACACACAGGAATGATAGCTGTTTGGTAAATTGAAGTACTATAAATGTCAGTTAGTATACTGTATTCTAATACATTATTGTCTCAAGGGTAATTTTGTGTGGAAACTGCCCGTTGTGTGTAAAAGGGTCGCAGGTTGCTTTGCTTCCTTGTTTTGAGACCGAGCCTGTTTCTGTCACTTCTCCGGCCATCAGTTTCACGGCTTGTTCCGCTTGGCATATCTGTCATTAGCTGCTTCCTCCCCCTCAGTTTATGCTTCTAATCTTATCAGTTGAGGTGTCCCCTAGTTAGAATTGTGGGAAAGTGGCCTCAGTCTCCAGGGTCTCTGAGTCTGAGTGTTAGTGCTTTGGGGATTTGGGGCTGCTCAGAACTTCTCCTTGCTTATTGAGTGTTTAGATAGTCACAGATGCAGGACAGGTGATCTCTTAAATGAGAGTTTACAGCTGTACTACTTGTTTAAGACTTCTGAGACAATTTACCTAAAAGCCACTGTCATGTTTAATAACTGAAACAAGAATCTAGTTAGTTGGGAGGAAAGCCAAAATTGGGAGTCCAATGGCCTAAAGGACAATTTAACTTGTTTTTACCAAACCTCATTGACAGTTTAGGGATTATGTGATAGAAGAAAATTTTTTTGTTATATGAATGAGTTCCTCCTACACCATTAAGAAAGGGGTTTCTCTGTATGTTTAGTACCTCCTCAACTTAGAACTGGAAGAAATCCTGTTAGGTAAAATATTCTCATGGAAAGTATATGGATTGTATAATGACACTACTCTGGCCTTAAAATGTCTCTCTGCTGTTTATAATTACATTGTAGTCAACCATTAATATTAAGTAATTCCTGTATTGAAGAACAGGATTTTAAAAATAAGCTCATTTAATAGAAAAATCAACACAGGTCAGACTTTAGTCTGTGTTTCTATCTTCTTCTATCTAGCATTTGGACACATTACAGAAGGACTGTCTAGGGTGCATGGCAGTTTGGTTTATGGAAAGTATTCTAATATAAAGAAAACTTTTGTGAACTTGCCAGCTGCTGACTTCTTGCAGCCTGGAAGGTGTTCGTGCCTCCTGACCTGAGTATCTTTAAGCCGTTACTTTGGGCTGATATCATTAACGTACATCTGTGTAGAGGAGAAAATGTCTTTACTCCATAATAAAAGGATAATTATTATTTGGGGAAAGAAGCAGTTGCCTACAGAATTGGAAAGCTGCCTCGTAAGTAACAGAGAGAGAGTGCTGAAGTTTAGGCTCTTAAATAACAGTTTGTGTAGTTCTGTTTTGCTGTAACTGCCACTTTTCCAGTGAAAGTGATTTCACACATGTAGGTCTTACAGGTCTGGATAAAGTTCTGTAATTGTTTAAAGAAAGATTTGTATTGTGAAACTATAAAGTTTATCCCATTGTAAATGTACAGTTTGTATTCCTGAATATATCAGAGAACAGGATTTTGATCTATTTCATAATTTTGTGGGGTTTTGAAGAATTAATGAGCATGTACATAGTGACTTTTTAAAATTTTATTTTATCGTTTCATACAGCAGGTTCTTATTAGTCATCCATTTTACACACATCAGTGTAGACATGTCAATCACAGTCTCCCAGTTCATCCCACCACCACCCCCACTCCTTTCCCCCCTTGGTGTCCATACGTTTCTTCTCTACATCTGTGTCCCAATTTCTGCCCTGAAAACCGGTTCATCTGTACCATTTTTCTAGGTTCCACATATATGCGTTAATATACGATATTTGTTTTTCTCTTTCTGACTTACTTCACTCTGTATGACAGTCTCTGGATCCATCCACGTCTCAACAAATGACCCAATTTCGTTCCTTTTTATGGCTGAGTAATATTCCATTGTATATATGTACCACATCTTCTTTATGTGTTCATCTGCTGATGGGCATTTAGGTTGCTTCCCTGACCTGGCTATTGTAAACAGTGCTGCAGTGAACATTGGGGTGCATGTTTCTTTCTGAATTATGGTTTTCTCTGGGTATATGCCCAGTAGTGGGATTGCTGGGTCATATGGTAATTCTATTTTTAGTTTTTTAGGGAACCTCCATACTGTTCTCCATAGTGGCTGTATCAATTTATACATTCCCACCAACAGTGCAAGAGGGTTCCCTTTTCTCCACACCCTCTCCAGCATTTGTTGCTCGAAGATTTTCTGATGATACCCATTCTGACTGCTGTGAAGTGATACCTCATTGTAGTATTGAATTGCATTTCTCTAATAATTAGTGATGTTGAGCAGCTTTTCATGTGCTTCTTGGCCATCTGTACATCTTTGGAGAAATGTCTATTTAGGTCTTCTGCCCATTTTTTGAGTGGGTTGTTTCTTTAATATTGAGCTGCATGAGCTGTTTATATATTTTGGAGATTAATCCTTTGTCTGTTGATTCGTTTGCAACTATTTTCTCCCATTCTGAGGGTTGTCTTTTCATCTTCATTGTAGTTTCCTTTGCTGTGCAAAAGCTTTTAAGTTTCATTAGGTTCCATTTGTTTATTTTTGTTTTTATTTCCATTACTCTAGGAGGTGGTTCAAAAAAGGTCTTGCTGTGATTTATGTCAGAGAGTTTCTTCCTGTGTTTTCCTCTAAGAGTTTGATAGTTTCTGGCCTTACATTTAGGTCTCTAATCCATTTTGAGTTTATTTTTGTGTATGGTGTTAGTGAGTGTTCTAATTTCATTCTTTTACATGTAGCTGTCCAATTTTCCCAGCATGACTTACTGAAGAGGCTGTCTTTTCTCCGCTGTATATTTTGGCCTGCTTTATCAAAGATAAGGTGACCATATGTACGTGGGTTTGTCTCTGGGCTTTCTATCCTGTTCCATTGATCTATATTTCTGTTTTTGTGCCAGTACCATACTGTCTTGATTACTGTAGCTTTGTAGTATAGTCTGAAGTCAGGGAGTCTGATTCCTCCAGCTCCATTTTTTTCCCTCAAGACTGCTTTGGCTAGTCAGGGTCTTTTGTGTCTCCATATAAATTTTAAGTTTTTTTTGTTCTGGTTCTGTAAAAAATGCCATTGGTAATTTGATAGGGATTGCATTGAATCTGTAGATTGCTTTGGGTGGTAGAGTCATTTTCACAATGTTGATTCTTCCAGTCCAAGAACATGGTATATCTCTCCATCTGTTTATATCATATTTAATTTCTTTCATCAGTATCTTATAGTTTTCTGCATACAGGTCTTTTGTCTCCCTTGGTAGGTTTACTCCTAGGTATTTTATTCTTTTTGTTGCAGTGGTAAGTGAGAGTGTTTCCTTAATTTCTCTTTCAGATTTTTCATCATTAGTGTATAGGAATGCAAGAGAATTCTGTGCATTAATTTTGTATCCTGTAACTTTACCATATTCATTGATTAGCTCTAGTAGTTTTCTGGTAGCATCTTTAGGATTCTCTATGTATAGTATCATGTCATCTGCAAATAGTGACAGCTTTAATTCTTCTTTTCTGATTTGGATTCCTTTTATTTCCTTTTCTTCTATGATTGCTGTGGCTAAAACTTCCAAAACTGTGTTGAATAAGAGTGGTGCGATTGGGCAACCTTGTCTTGTTCTTGATCTTAGTGGAAATGCTTTCAGTTTTTCACCATTAAGGACAATGTTGGCTGTGGGTTTGTCATATATGACCTTTATTATGTTGAGGTAGGTTCCCTCTGTGCCCACTTTCTGGAGAGTTTTTATCATAAATTGGTGTTGAATTTTGTCAAAAGTTTTTCCTGCATCTATTGAGATGATCATATGGTTTTGCTTCTTCAGTTTGTTAATATGGTGTATCACATGGATTGATTTGCGTGTATTGAAGAATCCTTGCATCCCTGGGATAAATCCCACTTGATCATGGTGTATGATCCTTTTAATCTGTTGCTGGATTCTGTTTGCTAGTATTTTGTTGAGGATTTTTGCATCTATATTCATCAGTGATATGGGTCTGTAATTTTCTTTTTTGTAGTATCATTGTCTGGTTTTGGTATCAGGGTGATGGTGGCCTCATAGAATGAGTTTGGGCGTGTTCCTTCCTCTGCAATTTTTTGGAAGAGTTTGAGAAGGATGGGTGTTAGCTGTTTTCTGTATGTTTGATAGAATTTACTTGTGAAGCCATCTGGTCCTGGACTTCTGTTTGTTGGAAGTTTTTTTTTTTTTTTTTTTTTGCGGTACGCGGGCCTCTCACTGCTGTGGCCTCTCCCATTGCGGAGCACAGGCTCCGGATGTGCAGGCTTAGTGGCCATGGCTCACGGGCCTAACCGCTCCGCAGCATGTGGTATCTTCCTGGATCGGGGCACAAACCCGTGTCCCCTGCATCGGCAGGCGGACCCTCAACCGCTGCGCTACAAGGGAAGCCCCTGTTGGAAGAATTTTAATCACAGTTGCAATTTCATTACTCGTGATTGGTCTGTTCATGTTTTCTATTTCTTCCTGGTTCAGTCTTGGAAAGTTATACCTTTCTAAGAATTTGTCCACTTCTTCCAGGTTGTCCATTTTATTGGCATAGTGTTCCTTGTAGTAGTCTCTTAGGATGCTTTGTATTTCTGTGTTGTCTGTTGTAACTTCTCCTTTTTTATTTCTAATTTTATTGATTTGAGTCCTCTCCCTCTTTTTCTTGATGAGTCTGGCTAATGGTTTATCAATTTTGTTTATCTTGTAAAAGAACCAGCTTTTAGTTTTATTGATCTTTGCTATTGTTTCCTTTGTTTCTATTTCATTTATTTCTGCTCTGATCTTTAGGATTTCTTTCCTTCTGCCAACTTTGGGGTTTTGTTTGTTCTTCTCTCTCTAGTTCCTTTAGGTGTAAGGTTAGATTGTTTACTTGAGATTTTCCTTGTTTCTTGAGGTAGGCTTGTATTGCTGTAAACTTCCCTCTTAGAACTGCTTTTGCTGCCTCACAGAGGTTTTGGATGGTCATGTTCTCGTAATTTGTCTCTAGGTATGTTTTGATTTATTCAGTGATCTCTTGGCTATTTAGTAACGTATTGTTTAGCTTTCATGTGTTTGTCGTTTTACGTTTTTTCCCCTGTAATTAATTTCTAATCTCATAGCATTGTGGTCAGAAAAGATGCTTAATATGATTTCAGTTTTCTTAAATTTACTGAGGCTTGATTTGTGACCCAAGATGTGATCTGTCCTGGAGCATGTTCCATGTGCACATGAGAAGAAAGTGTAATCTGCTGTTTTTGGATGGAATGTCCTATAAATATCAGTTAAATCTGTCTGGTCTATTGTGTCATTTAAAGCTTGTGTTTCCTTTTTAATTTTCTGTTGGATTATCTGTCTATTGGTGTAAGTGAGGTGTTAAAGTCCCCCACTATTATCGTGTTACTGTCAGTTTCCTCTTTTATAGCTGTTAGCAGATGCCTCATGTATTGAGGTGCTCCTATGTTGGGTGCATATAGATTTATAATTGTTATATCTTCTTCTTGGATAGATCCCTTGATCGTTATGTAGTGTCCTTCCTTGTCTCTTGTAACATTATTTTAAAGTCTATTTTATCTGATATGAGTATAGCTACTCCAGCTTTCTTTTGATTTCCATTTGCATGGAATATCTTTTTCCATCCCCTCACTTTCAGTCATTGTGTGTCCCTAGGTCTGAAGTGGGTCTCTTGTAGACAGCATATATATGGGTCTTGTTCTTGTATCCATTCAGCAAGCCTGTGTCTTTTGGTTGGAGCATTTAATCCATTTACATTTAAGGTAATTATCGATATATATGTTAGTATTACCATTTTCTTAATTGTTGTGGGTTTGTTTTTGTAGGTCCTTTTCTTCTCTTGTGTTTCTTGCTGAGAGAAGTTCCTTTAGCATTTGTTGTAGAGGTGGTTTGGTGGTGCTGAATTCTCTTAGCTTTTGTTTGTCTGTGAAGCTTTTGATTTCTCTATTGAATCTGAATGAGATCCTTGCTGGGTAGAGTAATCTTGGTTGTAGGTTCTTCCCTTTCATTACTTTAAATATATCATGCCACTCCCTTCTGGCTTGTAGAGTTTGTGCTGAGAAATCAGCTGTTAACCTTATGGGGGTTCCCTCATAGTGACTTCTGGAATACGGTACTCAATTGTACTCTTTCAATACCTCAAGATTGTTGTATATTTTAGAGTATAATAAAACACAGATGTGAATTGTGAAAAAATGAGAAGGATTATAATGCATGGGATTATATATTAACCACAATTATAATGCTAATCGTTGTGTGTATCTTTTTCCCTTCTGTTTTCCTTTTGTGGATTCAATAGGTATTTTTCTGCGTTGGAACAGATCTTCCAAGTATTTGGATGAAGCATATGAAGAAATGGTTAACATCATTGAATATAACAAGGAATTACAAGCAAAAGTAAATATCCTTAGGCGGCAGTTGGCAGAACTGGAGACTGAAGATGGGATGCAGGAGAGTCCCTGAATTCCAGATCCCCTGCAGCCCTCGGAGGACCGTCAGGACTGGTATCCCATCTCTCTCTCCCCATCTCTCTCTCCCTTGCCCTTCAGTTCACTTTCACACAGTAGCCTTAAACTTAAGGCTTTAGATGTGAGAACCTTCTAATATAATGGACTCCTCAAAACTTTATGAATGGAACTTACTATAATTATTCATGTTTCATGTGGCCTGTTAGGCCTCTTCACTTTGGGAGCAGGAAGGAGGTGCTAGTCATTTTATTTTACATGAAACAAGTGACCTATTTAATGCCATTTGTGTTATATGCCATTTCACCCTAAGCTTTTCTCTGCATCCACTTTCCAAACAGTGCTCCAGACCAGTCAAGGATATGATTAATCTCTTAGGGAATATCTGTTAGTTTAAAAAAAGGATCAGACTTTGAAGCACTCCAAATATAGAAATATTTTTCAAACCTGAAATGGTTGATAAACGAAGAATTTTGTGTTTAACATACCATTTCCAATATCTTTGCTACATAAAAAAGCCATTCTCTTTAAAACAGTTTTGGACTGACAGAGCTAAATTCATCCTCATTCTGATTTGTCAAGAAAACAAAAGCTGAGTATTTATTCAAGGTAAATTATTTTTACGTAAAGGGCAACAGCTATAGTCCTCTGATATTTACATTAAGAAGAAGTAAATTTATTGTAACAGATACTAAAATATGTGCAATATAGAAATAAAGTAGGAATTTGTTACTGATAAGGTATCTTTAGTGTTGAATTGGTTTTTCAGGGTTTTGACACACATGTTAAGTGTGTGTCAAATGCTGGATGTAATGTTAAACCGTCATTTAGAATAGATGTTAATTTCTTATGATTAAGCTACAAATACGGTTTCCTTAAACCAGAGATACACCGCCCTTGTCTGAAGTTCTTATTGCACTGGTTTATGTATGGATATGTGTGTTTTATTATGTTTTGTTTTATTTTTAAATATTCTAAGAGTTCACTAATACTAAGGTTAAAATTTTCTTATTGTCTTGAGCCTTTTGAACATTTATCTTGACTCTGCTGATTTGTCCATTATATGTTAGGCAAATAATTTAAGTGGAGGTGAAAGTTTATGAACGTGATGCAGCTATGTTTTAAACTTCAGAAGCCAATTTGAAATGTTTCAATGTTACAGAAACAGTGACGACTATATTTATGTGCTATGCTGGTTTATGCCTTCAATTCTAAAATTTGTGGTTTGGTGCTTTCCTTATACATTTTTGTTTTGTGGCACAGGTCGTTTTAACAGATACTGTCAATTCTAGTTTTCCTTTAAAAGGATAGTTGAAGGGCAATCTTTAATACCATTTCTATCCCATCTATATATAACCATTTCATTGTAAAACACACCAAAACTGAACCCTGCTTTAGGGCTATGTATTGAGTTAAAATTTTAATTCTTCAAAATCAACTGTAGCAAAGTCTATGGCCACATTCAGAAGCCTTAAAAAGTGGCAAATACTTTCTATCTCCAGCTGCCCAAACTTTTTTTTTTTTCTGTTTCCTCAGACTTTTAGCAAAAGGCTAGACAGCAATCCACAGAGCTCTCTTTTGGTAAATTTGTCTGCTTTCTCCTCTAAGCCCAGTTTTATTCATGACCTGTTTTGTTGGCTATAGTTATGAATCTTGGGGCATTAAAGCCCTCACCTAAAGGCTAATAAAGCAAGGAGCAAAGAAGGTGTACTTTCTTGCTGTAGATATCTGTGTGTTGTGTGAAATGTCTGTATTAATTTTTTAAAAGAGGAAACACCCCAGCATTTTATGGATCCTCAAAATTGAAGAAGGTGCCTTTTTCTTCTCAGTTAACGGCCCCATAAGGAAAACCATATAGAGATTTTCTTTTAGTGATTCTTTAGAAGTGACTCTCACTGGTAATATTAATTGGCCATAAGGCTTCTGTGGGTGGAAACTTTGGAGGGATTTTTTATTAGCTTTGGTCATGGAGAAATTGTATGCCATCAACTTATAACTGTCTTCCTGATGAACATTTTATATGTGAGCCAGAGTACAGTAATAGCATAGTGTTTCAATTTCTTTTTCTTTCTCTTATTGAGACAGCAATCATAAGCTGTTTGGACAAGTTTGTGTTTTAGTGTTAATTTATAATTAGGGATTGTCCAAACCTCAGTTCTGTTTACAGGGTGTAAAAACAAACTTTGGTATCAATGCAATTTCAAAGGGGTCATCTAATAAGACAAATACTAAGGTTTCCACAAACCTGAGAACTCTGTCAAAGACAAGTGCTTTATCAATATAATTTGAAGAGGTTTTTAGTAATACTATTAAGTTACTTATCCCTTGGATGAAAAGAATAATTACAGTGGATATACTTATGAGAAGCTACTTATTAAAGGTTAAGTTTGGAGAATTGTCTTTGATAAATATGGCTTTAAAAACTTTAATGAAGAGAATGATGGCCAAATTAGTGAGCATGCAGATTACCCCATTACAAGCCAATAATAAAGTGAGATATAATCAAGTTCATGTACATTATTGTGAAGGCTGGTTTACATTTTTGGAATGCAAAAAGTAAGCCCCACAAAGAATATTTTTAAAATATTGCTACAGTACAGGGATCCTTAGATTTAAATTAATAATTTTTAAAAAATCAGAAGAACATAGTTTGTTATATAAAAATGCTGAAACTTTTTGGGTGGTCTAAGACTTTTCAGTAGTTTGAAATTTTTCATTTTGATTTTATTAAATGGGAAGAAAACAAGCAGAAATTATAAAACCTTATAGATTTAAGACACCTATAAATTTATTTGTAAGAAAACTTAGGCCTTTGAAGCAAGTTTTTAAAGTGATTTTTGGGAAAACTTTGGAAGACAATAGATAGTCATTTAAGATCCGTATGGAGAATTTTAAAACTTTTCTTTGAATTCTAAGGCCTGATTTTGTAGAGGTGATATGTTACTGCTTTTCATTTTAAAGGATGAAAATTTAGTGAGATTTTAGTCTTTGATTCAGTCAGTATTTATGTTAAATAAAAAAGTCAATATATGGAAAAGATTTGACCAGTAATTGTCTCTTGAAGTGAAAAACAGGGAACATTTTGCTGCATTTAAAAATAATCTGCTTAAAGATATAACTCTTAAAGTTATCTGGTTTCAAGATTAGTTTTGTTTTTTTTTTTTGTTTTTGTGGTACGCGGGCCTCTCACTGCTGTGGTCTCTCCCGCTGCAGAGCACAGGCTCTGGATGTGCAGGCCCACGGGCCCAGCTGCCCTGTGGCACCTGGGATCCTCACGGACCAGGGCACGAACCTGCGTCCCCTGCATTGGCAGGCGGACCCTCAACCACTGCACCACCAGGGAAGCCCCAAGATTAGCTGTTTTAATTGTTAGTCTTAACTAAGTCATCAGGTTCACTTACTATCAGACCTTAACCTGAGACACAGTTTTGGTATTTACCCATATCCAGATTTAATGAATTAAAACAACATGAATCTATTAGGAGCACTCTTTATCAGAGAGGTATTTCCTGGACCAAAAATGGGCAATATTTAGAACAGTTAGTCCCCTGGTTCTGGAAGTTTTGAAATTTATGAATGAAGTCATTCATTCAGTACCTCTGATACAGGTTTATCCTATACCTCAGGACAACAGAGATTAATTATTTCTTATTCTTTAACATGGCTCAGATCATTCCCCTCCAGAGCTGGTACAATATGTTATTATAGGTAGTATTTTTGTGTAATTCACCATCTTAACAAAAAACAGTAAAAGACTGGTTTCTACATTAATATCTATTCTCAGATGGTATGAAATGCTAATTTTTGTTTTCTTGAATAAAACGACTTCTGCCTTCACTCAGTCCTTATAATCTAGTGTCCACAGCATTTTCTTCCTTTAAACCAAAAGCCCAGAAGAGACCTTCTGAAACTCTAGGGCTAGGTTTTAGAAAGTCTGAACTTGTAATCTAAATTCCCTTTAAAATAAACTAATGTCCTATTTTTGAACTGCAGTGCAGAACTGTAGTTTCTGCTTAATTAATGAAAAATAACGGGGCTCACTGCAGACACTACATTATCATGGAAAATACTTCACGATGAGAGCTTACTGTCTTCTAGGGCCATTCTGTTTATCTGTGAGTATACAGATTAAATATATTTGTGATTTATAATAAAAACAAGTTGTGCAACACTGCCTGTGTTTCTCTGCCCAAGACATTTGCTTCACTTTTTCAAATGCATGTATTTTTGGAGAGGTGGATTATTCTACACAAACACACCCTGAGTTCTGCTTTTTAGAATCCTTATAGATCTGTTATCATCTACACTGAAAGTGTTGTACTTGCACAACTTATTTTAAAAAATAAAAAAGAGTATGTATTTCTTCAGTAGCCATGCATTTGCATTGTACTCTTGATATATTTGAATGTGACTCTTGGATTTAAGTGCACTATTATTCATGTCTTACACAATAAAACTGCACTGTATGGCAAATGTGTCTGTAATGTATGCTTTGCTAAAACCTCAGAGTGCTGTAATGTACAGGTTTCTACATGATGAACCTGTCAGCATATAGGGGAAATCCTGAACTTCCGTTAAGTCTGTGTAACATTTTAGTATTATTTGTAATGTTCCCTTAAGTGGTAAGTTCACTTATGTCCTAAGACTGGAATCATTTATCTTGAGTTGGCTGCTTTGTCAAGCTTGGTTTACTGAATCAAACAAACGTGTCGAACATGGTACTGTTATCTTTCTTAGTGTATAAGATTTATGTGTCATGTTCTCCCTCTGCCTCGGAGGACTGTTGCACAGACGCTAGTGTTAAATATCTATAGACAATGGTAATAAACTTTGAATACATTCAAATGCAGTAAATTCAATCTATAGGCTGACTTATTTTCAAATATTTGTGAAGGTTTTGGCAGTGTCTTGATTAAAATTGCTATATATATATTTGGACCTTATATTTTGAAAAAATTCAGATCTGCGAAAAAGTTGCAAAATAGTACAGTGATATTCCTTAAATATTCAATCTAGGTGAACAGTATAACATTTTTCACATTTGCTTTGACACCCTTGAGTGTGTGTATGTATGATTACTATTATTTTGCTGAAACATTTGAGGGTAAGCTGCAGACATCATGACCTTTCCACCTAAATACTTTCCACCTATATCTCCCAAGAATTAGGAGTATATATTACACGTGCTATTTATTCAATATGTATTGATATGAATAAATCAATGAGGGAAAAGGCAAAGCTCCTCCTTAGGGTAGAATGCCAGCTATGAAATATAGAAAGAATGATGACATTAGAAAATCACTGTTTAGTCATTAGTAATAACTGATTTAGGGAATCACTGTCAGTGGATGCTAAAACTAGCAGGTGAAAGTTTGTGAGCAAAACCATATAGTCTCAAAGTATCTTTCCATAAAATACCAGTTACAAAGAGGAAAACAGTTAACTTTACAGTGAAGGAAACTGGTAGATACCAACCTAATCCAAACATAATTAACATCACTAGTAATGGAACAAATCAATATCATGTGCCTTCTGATAGGATCCACTGAGAACACAGCATCACTTTTACGGCATTTTTTGCAAAGAACAAAAAGCACAACCTGAATCTAATTATGAGGAAACATCACGCAAACTTTAAATTGAGGGACGTTCTACCAAATAAGTCTGTATTCTTGTAAATTATGGAGCTTATAGAGGAAAAGGAAAGACTGAAAACTTATTTGTAAGTTTAAAATTATTTTTTAAAAGCACAAAGTGAACAGAAAATAGTATCTATGCAAAGCTATAAAATTAAAATGAGAAAATATTTCAGCTGATGAAAATTATCCCCCAATAAATGAAACGTTAAGCAAAATAAAACTCTAACACACATTCCAAAAGGAATAAATACCCTTAAACAAAATTTCTGTATATGATATGGAAAA